CACAGTTCTGACAAGAGCTCTCCTTGAAAAAGAGCAGTTTCTGTCAGAGCTCTCTCAGCCCCACCTACCTCACAGGGTGTCTGTTGTGGGGAGGGGAAGGGAAAGGGAAAGGAGTTTGTAAGCCACTCTGAGACTCCTTTGGGTAGTGACGGGCAGGGTATAAGTCCACTCTCCTCTTCTTTTTGTGAGGGGGCAGCCCCAAATCCTCCCACCTCTGGAACATACACACTAAATTCAGTGGGATTACTCTGGAGAAGATACTAAGACAATGACTGTCCAGTATTACAAACAAGCCAAAATGTTCTCAAGTATCTGATAACGATTTAACATTTATCTGGAAAACTGTGTTGGTCTCTGAGGTACTACTGGATTCGAAACCTAACTCTTCTAGTGCAGAACAACATGGCTACCCTCCCAAAAGACACAACACATGATTTGTCAATCCAGAGTTTCCAGCTGCTCTGCAATCAGCCAGTTGTTCAGGGTGAACAAGAATTCCTTCGGGGTAAGAAGCCTGATAAAGCCCTTGCACGAGCCACCCGTGAGACAGAAGCATGCATGGGCAAGCAGAGGGAGGGGTTTTTTTGAGAGGGAGGGATTGCAGGCTGGTAAAGCGGGTGGGGGAATACTTCCCTACGGGACTAGCTCTACCAGTTCTTCACTGTCATATATGCATGACTGCAAGTTGAGATTTGCTCAGCCCTCAACCCCTAGAGGATCCAGACTGAAGCCTTTTACAGAAAAGGAGACTCAAAGCACACTTGAAATGCACTGTCAGGAAGTGCCCACCGGTCGGAAAGTCAAGTTCCTCACCTGACAGTTGGCCTGGGAAGGTATACCCATAGTTGCTCTCTGCAAAAAGATAACTACCCGTTTCATCTGAGTTTGGCATCAAACCATCAATTCCACATCAACTGCTGACACTAAAATTGGGGGAACTAGTAACCCATTCTGCAGTTCCAGCAAGTTACCGGTGCTTAAAATGTTGTGGGATAATAAATACCCCTGGGGTCCTAAGGGGCAACGGAACCCCCAGACCCCTTCTTCAAGTTTAAGTTTTGGTAGGAGATGGCTGCCCTACGCCCAGATCCCAGCGGTGGAGGACAGAGACGGTATCCAATACTGACAGTTCTTCTACTGAACTGTTCTTATTATCTTACAAATAAGCAGCCAAAGACCAAGATGACCAAATTGCTCAGAGCATATGTCAAAACAGTGTACGTGTACTGATCAATAAAGAGATCTCTGGGATGCCAGCCTGAAGGCCAAAACAACCGTCGGAAAAGGCAACACCCAGCCTGTAAAATTAACACCTTCTATACCCGTTTCATTGCTAAGCGTTTCCAATGTGGGTGTCACAAAGAAGTAACAATAGGTGGACCTATAGCCAACCATGGGTTATCGGGAAAGATCGAGCGTCATTCAGATAGTACCGGAGGCCTGACCTCAATCCACAGAGGTTTATACTCGGAGATGGTACACTCTGTCTTGGATAATGCAAACATTGTGGAGAGCACAGTTCAGCCAGGTACAGGGTGTTCCTGAGAAGCAGGCAGAGCTGAACAGCAATGCTTTCTGGGACTGAACCAGAGTCCATTCTTACGAAAACATAGGCCTTAGCACCCTTAGAGAGTATATTAAGAACAGAAAATCTCATATCTCCCTCTAAGCCAAAATTCTGCCACACTAAACACCTATGGAACAAACAGACTGATAACCAAAAGGTACACATCGAGACACCACTAAAACAGCGACGTAACCAGTGTTCCCTCTAAGCTGAGCTAGTGTGAGCTAGCTCACAGTTTTTTAGCCTCCGGCTCACACATTTTTGTCTTTGCTCAGGAAGGAGGGCTCCAGAGCAAACTGATTTATGTGGCAGCCAAATCGCTCGCTCACAACTTTAATGCCAGTAGCTCACAAAGTAGAATTTTTGCTCACAGGACTCCACAGCTTAGAGGGAACATTGGACGTAACTAGGGTTAACCGAAGAACGTTGGCTTCCTAGTCCGGAAGGTCCAGCCACGTGTGCGCAGAATGGAAGATCATCAAAAGATTTACCAGATATATATAAAGATGTTCCAAATGTATCCACATCCAAAGAGCTTGATCAGTGTCTGGAACAATACTGGGGGGAGGGGAATTCTGAACTGCAGCGGGAAAGGAGAAAGTCACATTCCACAGGCAGATCGTTTCAGAGTGAGTTTTAACTCTTGAAAGCTTATACTCTGAAATGCTTGTTGGCCTCTAAGGTGCTGCTGTACTTTAATCCAGCTGCCCCACAGGCAGAAATCCTTTGGTCTGTGGAAACATGTCTGTTGGATCCAAGGCCTTACCTTTTTGCACTCTATATAAACCCCCCGCATAAGGTAGTCCAATATTTATTATTCCTGTCTTGCAAAACGGAGACCGAAGATGGCACAGAGTGGATTGCCTGAGGCCTTCTAGTGAGCTCACGTAAGAGGTGAAGCGTGAACCAAAGGCCTCCTTAATCACCACTTGTTGGATCAACCACTACACTACATCAGCTCCAAACAGCATGGATGTCAAGGGCCACCACTCCCATGTTGAACAGATTTAATATGGCGACCTCAGGTATACCCTCATCTGGACGGCCCAGGCTAGCCTGAACTCATCAGATTTTGGAAGCTAAGCAGGGTTGGCCCTGGTTGATATTTGGATGGGAGACCACCATGAAGAAGAAGAGGAGATTGGATGGATACCCCACCCTTCACTCAGAGTCTCAGAGTGACTTAAAATCTCCTTCCCTTCCTCTCCCCACAAGAGACACCCTGTGGCCGCTACACAGGGGCAGGCAATGGCAAACCACCTGTGAGCAGTGTTCCCTCTAAGCTGAGTTAGTGTGAGCTAGCTCACAGTTTTTCAGCCTCCAGCTCACAGATTTTTGTCTTTGCTCAGGAAGGATGACTCTAGAGCCAACTAATTTATGCAGTAGCCAAATCGCTCGCTCACAAATTTCATGCCAGTAGCTCACGGAGTAGAATTTTTGCTCAGAAGATTCCACAGCTTAGAGAGAACGTTGCCTGTGAGTGTCTCTTGCCTTGATAAACCTATGGGGTTGCTACGTCGGCTGTGAATTCACAGCTTTCCCACCATCAGCGTTGACTGTTCCAATACGGATCCTGAGCGGTATATTCTTAGAAGCAACCTATTTTAAGTGCTATCAAGTAATTCTACTTGATGATTCTACGAACTGCCGAGGAACCCTATCGGACAGCACACGCACACGCTTTCGTATGCACATCTGCTAATGACAGTCAATTTACCCCAGTTGCAAGTGGTCCCTCTCAGCCAAACACAGAACTGAAAAGAGGCCAGCCCTGTCCTTAAAATGAACATGCAGAGAGAGGATGGAAAAGCCCCCCCCCCCCCATGTCTTTTTTCCTATGTAGCACTTTAGCCCTAAACAGGGCTCTTTTTGTAGAAAAAGTCCAGCAGGAACTCATTAGCATAATGCACCACCCCCAACAGCAGAAACCCATAAGCATATTAGGCCACACCCCCATGTTACCAGAAGTGTGGTCATCCAGCCACACCCACCTTTTGCTTGTTATTCTGTTTACCTTGTTTGTTGCCACAACCCAGGGCTTTTCTTGTAGCAGGAACTCCTTTGCATGTTAGGCCACACACCCCTAATGTAGCCAATCCTAATGAGTTTCTAGTGTTGGGTGTGGCCTATTATGCTAATGAGTTCCTGCTGGGCGTGGCCAACTCGGAAGCCAGCCGGAACTCCGTTCCTGTGCGTTCCTGCCCAAAAACAGCCCTGGCCCTAAAGAAGCCCCACACCGTCCTCATCAGTGAAGCAGAGCTACTCCTGCAAGCGCATGTGTAAAGCGCTGCCAAGTCACAGGCAACTCATGGCAACCCCATAGAGTTTTCAAATCAAGAGACGTTCAGAGGTGGTTTCCCATTGCCCGCCTCTGTCTCTCAATCCTGGACTTCCTTGGTGGTCTCCAACCCAAGTACTAAGCAGGGCCAACCCTGCTTAGCTTCCAAGATCTGACAAGATCCAGCTAGCCTGGGCTGAACTCTAGTGACACGACTGCTACTATAAGTCAGCATGTTCTGTTGCAAAACCTCTACCGACCAGAACCAACGAGAGCCTTTGGTAGGAACAGGATCCTAACAAAAGGGGGGGCAAAACAGTAAGCAACGGACACACAATGAATGCCATGTGCTTTGGCAGGTTTGCTAATGACACAGCATCCTCAAAGGCTTTGCCATGCAATAAACAGTTATAGGAACTACATCCAATAACAGAAACAACTATTCACATGGCGACACGCACAAGAGGGACTGATTTAAAGCCAGGCGGCAGCAGCGGCAGCTACAGACTGGACAGAGACCTAAAACGATGTGCCTTCCGTCACACCCTCAAAGATCAGGAGAATTTTCTTCAGGGTCTTCCTAAGCCAAAACAGGCTTAACAAAGAGCCATTCGCCCATGCTGTCTGGATACTTAGACCCGACCCCCCAACCCCCACCCCAGAAGGAAACATTCATAAACTTAAAATCAGCATTTCCTCCTCCACCTCCCTTTCAGACTGCTGATGCACTACAAAATGATGAGTGCAGGGTAGCAGAATTAAATTAAATGTAAAAATATGGACTAGTAACTTCTGTGAACTTGCAGCTCGGCAAACACCTGTTTAAGCTCTGCTCTCGTATCGAAAACATTTCAGTAAAGAGACAGGGTTCAGATGGCAGATGAAGCCTCATGGAAGTTGTTCAAGCTCCCAATGACAGGTTTCTGGCTTTTTTCAATTCTCCCAAGCCATCTAGTTTTTTTGTTCATAGCATAAATTCACAGTTGGGGCACGGAGGGTTCTATTTCACAGATGTCTTGCAGATCCAAGTGCTGGTAGTAGTAAGCTTAATTTTATTTTATTTTTTTTGAAAGATGAGGAAGAGAGAGCTACCACAAACGGCTTCCACAGCAAGCGCTGCGTTCTGCCGAACTAAAAACTGACAGATCTACTTACCACGGGTGTTGGTCGCCATGTCAGCCACTTTCTGGAATGCATCCAAGAAGGCAGCAGCTGCTACTACGGTCGTCCTGGAATACAGAGAGGATAACATAATGTTAGAGACAGCCAACCTATCTGGACCACAGAAAAGGGGGAAGTCTTTTAAAAAGAGACTATCCTTTACCAAAAAAATTTAGATTTATTTATTTAAGAAGGTTAACTGCGTTAAGACTGTCTGTAGCAGTCGAAACAAGCAAGCGCCCAAGTAGCACCTTGAGGACTAACAACATTTGTGGCAGGGTGTGAGCTTTCGTGAGTCACTGCCCACTAGTACCCTGCCACAGATTTTGCTAGTCTTTAAGCTGCGGTGGCTCAAGTGGTTAGGACGCTGAACTGTAGGCTGTGGAAGGTCAGTAGAGCAATTCAAGACCCGAGTTGCCGCATGACGGAGTGAGCTCCCATCTCTAGTTCCAGCTCCTGCCAACCTAGCAGTTCGAAAGCAAGAAATTGCAAGTAGATAAATAGGTACCACTTCGGTGGGAAGGTAACAGCGTTCCGTGCGCCTTGGTGTTTAGTCATGCCGGCCACATGACCACGGAAACGTCTTCAGACAGCGCTGGCTCTTCGGCTTTGAAACGGAGATGAGCACTGCAACCCTAGAGTCGGACTCGACTGGCTTTCAAGCAAGGGAACCTTTACCTTTACCTTTAAGGTGCTGCTGGACTCTTGCTCTTTTCTACTTCTACAGACAGACTAACATAGCAGCCCATCTTCATCTATCTCCATATGGTGGTGGAGGAGGAAGACGAGGAGACTGGAGTTATACCCTGCCCTTCACTCGGGAGTCTCAAAGCAGCTTACAATCCTCTTCCCTTCCTCTTTCAAGAGAACTGTAACTGACCCAAGGTCACCAATCAGCTGCAATGCGGAAGAGTGGGGAATCAAACCCAGTTCTCCAGATGAGGGTCTGCCGCTCTTAACCACTACACCAAACTGGTTCTCCGGCAGGAGCTGTTTTCTAGCAGAAAAGGTGTGTTCCACTGGAAGAGCATTCCCTCCAATGGATTCACAGGATCCAACCCCATATACTGCAACGGTATCCATGCCCAGTTGTGAATGGTAGAGAAAGCTCAGCTTGGTTGTTCTGCTCCCCTCTATTTAGAAAGTCTCATTAGCAATCAACATGTTCAGTGGCATCAAATGGCCTATCTGTCCCTGGGCTGTGCCACATCAGAACTCACGTTAAATCATTTTTAAGCGGTTTATCCACATAAGTATATAAAATTCTTTTCATATTGAGACCGAACTATCACAGAGGAAGGGGTGGGATAGAACATTACTCTTGATCTATGAAATGAACATACATGCAACACAGGCCCATAGCCACGATGGGGTTTGGGGGGCTCTGCCCCCTTTGTTAAAGGCACAGCCCCACAAGAATTTATCCTGTAAATGTGTTTTTCAGTCATTTTTTAAACTTTTAAAAAAGGCATACACTCTTTTAAGCAGAGTGGGGTGCTGTAGCTGACTAATTCCTGCACTAAGCAAGGGGGGTGGAGTAGGTGGCCTCTAGGATCCCTTCTAACTCTGTGTCAAGAAACGGGTCGCTTTTAAGAGAGTTTTTCTGCCTAAGTGTTAGCTTTCATTACTACAGAAGTCATCACTCCCACCTGCCGGTTTGTTATCAGAATTGTTTCTTAGGCTGGCAGAAGGGATTAACTTGCAGCGGCTGAGAATTGTCATCTAAAGTGGTCAACAGCTTGCAATTTAGAGATCTATCCTGATAACACCCTTCTATTAGCTAAATGGCTTTTCTTTCTGCACTGAGAACTTCAGCCCCACCAGAAAAAAATTTGCCCCAAAGCCACAAAATCCTGGCTACGGGTCTGGTGCAACATTTCCTACACAAAGGACCACTCAAGTATTCAGAGGTACAATACAGAAACAGGTTAATTGCGCCAAGTCTGCTGATCATGGAACTCAGTTCAAGCTTCTGACAAGAAAATGAAAGTACATCATATTTTCAGCAAACAATCCTACGGGATCCTTCTCAGAAGCTTTTATTCCCTTCCCAACACAGATCTAGCACCACAACATCCCCAGATCCTTACCCTCCACAAGAACTTTTTCTAAAAAACATAGATCCGATCTTCCCTAAATATAGCACCACTTCATGAATAAGTGGGTCTTGAGGACCCTTTTCACCTCAAAACTTGTGCTGAAGTCTTTCCTCCTCTCATTTAATTGACTGTATGCCCAAGACTTGAATTTTAATAGAATCTGGGACGTGACTTTGGGGGATAAACTAAAAACAAGGGCACCGCGGAATCCACGGGAACAGCAGCGACAGAGAGTGGCACTTGCATGCAAGAAGGCAGGGCGTTTCAACTTGATCAACCTGCTGGCTTTCTGCCACAACGGCTCCTGTCCCAGCCGCTTTGCCCCACCGGATGGGCAAACAGAATCGAGGAGGGGGGTTGCGGCAAAGAGGAGCGTTTGCAGAGGAAACTGCCGCGGGTGCACGCCTACCGCTTCTCTCCTGCAACTGCTGCCCCCTCCCATACCAGACAGACCACTCTGTGCAACATCAAAGGCGAGAAATCCCACATTTTCCACTGAATGCACAACTCCAACCAGAGACTATCTATCCACACTCTCAAGCTGCAGATAAAGGTCAATAGGCACAGCATTTAATAGGTCAGTTGAAGGTCTTCTTGCACATCAAATGCTCCTTTTTTGCAGCCCCCTGAGAATCAAAAATTGTTAGCTGGGATCTGCTGCAAGGAAATTGGCTCGTAGCTTTCATCCAACACTCTCTCCCTCTCACATACACATACATACATACATACACACACACACACACACACACACAGTTAAAGCAAAAAGAGGGCATGAAATAGCAATGGGCATCTGAGCAGCAAGTAATTTACCATCCCCCCTCCCCGCCTGCCAGGCTTTCTCCATCGCCTGACACAGAAGAGAAATACGGGAGCTCACAATGGGAGGATGAACGTCAAGAGTTTCTAGGACTTCCACAAAGGCCTAGGGAAGGAAGTTGGGGCAAGTTAGCTAAACACTCTAGATCCTTCTAGCCGATACTTGTTTTATTAAGGCATTGTAAACTACCACCAAAAAAAACCCCTGCAAGATTAAGAGAGATCTTCCCCTTCTTCATCACGCACAGTACACCCCTTTTTTGACTCAGTCTCCCAAGCACTTTCACTGTAAACAGATGTTGTCGGATTTCAGAAGCTAAGCACGGTCGGCCCTGGTTAGTACTCGGATGAGAGACCACCAAGGAAGTCTAGGGTTGGTACGCTGTGGCAGGCAATGGCAAACCACCTCTCTTCGTCTGTTGCCCTGAAAACTCTATGGGGTAGCTCAAAGTTGGCTGCAACCTGATGGCACTTTCGTTCATCATTAAGTCAAACTACCCAAGCTAAGTTTCTAGCTCCCAATCAAAAGAAACACATGCATGAACACACATGAATCTGCCTTACTGAATCAGACCGCTGGCTCCATCAAGGTCAATACTGTCTACTCAGACAGGAAGCAGCTCTCCAGGGTCTCAGGCAGAGGTCTTTCACATCACCTACGGCCTGGTCCATTTTACTGGAAATGCCGGGGATTGAACCTGGGACCTTCTGCATACGAAGCAGACGCTCTACCACTGAGCCATGGCCCCTCCCTTGCTCAGCTCTCCCGCAAGCTTTACAGCAGTTATGCATATTAATGTATTACTTAATAAATGAAGCTCCAAGGGAAGGACGATGATGTCTTTGATAATACGCGGTTAAAACTTTATAGATGGTTAGAAACAAATGTTTAGTATAATTGATAGGCTCGAAAAGTGGAGGGAAGGCATTGTTGCAGACATGTAAACTATGTTAAGGAATCCATGTTGATGTTGGGTATGTTTTGCTTTAAAAAATAAATATCATTTTAAAAAAAGCAGTTATGCATATTAATTATATATATATTTTTGCTAAACGTGAGTAGCTTGTTTCAAAGGTCTTGCAAAGGGAGCACAAGAACTAACGTGTTATCTGTTTTCTTGGGCTTAACACGCTGTTTTAGTACTCAGCTATTTTGCAAGCAACCAACACAGGAATCACCTAAATGCAGATTTCCTGAGTACCATGTAGTTTCACTACACCAAGATCCAAAATTTTAGAGAATCTAGGACATGACTGTAGGAATCGAGGGACACCGGATGAAGACAAACCAACAAGGCAGAATCGGAGGAGTTTATGCAACCCATCCTTAATACCTGGCAAAATAAAGGGTCTGAAATATTTTTTGCTTTTAGCATACTTGGAGATATCTGAATTAAGCATGAAAATATCTATACTCATTTCCTGTATTTAACAGCTATATGTGATGCAATATTCTCTCTCTCTCAGCAGGAAGTTCCTTTGTCCCACTTTTCACTACCATGACAACACTCAGAGAAAGATTCCACAGTGCAGCCATTTTTAATGGAAATGCTTCCAACCCATACTGTAGAATTATAAAGTAAAAGGAAGGGATTTGGGAAAATTGCTCTGAAAAAAGCCTCATTACTAAGCCTGGGATATTTGCAAGTCCCCCTACTTTATGCTAACTGAAAAAACAGGATTAGATTCCTGAAGTATCAAAGCCAGGGGCCTCCACATTTCAGATGCTGTTGACACTGACAATACAAGGCTTGGTCACAATTAACCGGATCATCGGAATATGGATGAGACAGATTTATCAGACAGCAGGGCATGTTAGCAAATTAGGAGTCAGCTCAAGGAATTCAAAGGTCTTCCCCGCCGATACTCCCTCCTCCAGAAGACAGCCCCCTTTCCCTTCTACACTCACCATTAAACCATGTCCATGAAGATTACCATGGTCAACATGAGCCAGAGTGGTGTGGAGGTTAAGAGTGCTGGACTAGTATCAAAAAAGACCCACAGGTTCAAATCCCAACTTGTGCCATGGGAGCTCTGGGTTGGGGTTCCTTTCTTACTTATTTTTATTTATTTAATTTATTTATTTATTTAAATTTATAACCCGCCCTCCCCACGAACGGGCTCAGGGCGTTGTACAGATGGGGCCAACGCCCAATACAGAAAACATTAAAACTGCATTTTAAAAACATTCAGTACAACGTAAGTGCTCTCCACAACAACTAACAAGGGAACAGATGACGTCATCAGGATGGTATCCTTAGTGGCCACAGCTCCACGCAGTACCACCATTTTTTGCGCTCACGGCAAGTTGGTAATAAGGGCTAGAACAGATAGTAATAGTCGTAGACAGATGGTAACAGTCGTGGCGGCTCCTACTCAAACGCCTGGCGGAAGAGCTCCGTCTTGCAGGCCCTGCGGAACTGTGCAAGGTCCCGCAGGGCCCGGATCTCCTCTGGGAGCTCATTCCATCAGGTAGGAGCCGCCACTGAAAAAGCCCTAGCCCTAGTTGCCACTAGTCTGGCCTCTTTGGGACCTGGAACCACCAGGAGATGTTTAGTCCCGGACCGTAGCGCTCGTTGGGGAACATTATTTGCACAGTTGCCTTAATTATGCATTTAATGGATCTCTTTGTGCCTTAAGGACACCTCACATACTGTAAGGGAATGCAAGTGTTTCCTGTGTTTAGGGAGGGGCCGTGGCTCAATGGGAGAACCTCTGCTTTGCTTGTAGAAGGTCCCCGGTTCAATCCCCGGCATTTTCAGTTAAAAGGACCAGGCAGTAGGTGATGTGAAAGACCTCTACCTGAGACCCTGGAGAGCCACTGCCAGTCTTAGTAGAGAATACTGACATTGATGGGCCGGGGGTCTGATTCAGTATAAGGCAGCTTCGTATGTGTGTGTCATGTAGTGGTCAGATTGTCCGACTAGAATCTATGAGACCCAGGTTTGCATCCCAACTCCGCCGCACAAGTTTGCTGGGTGATCTCAGGCCAGTCACACTGCCTCAGCCTAACCTACCTCACAGGGTTGTTGTGAGGAGAAAATGGAGGAAAGATGTAAGCCGCTTTGGGTTTCCATCGGGGAGAAAGGGGGTGGACAAATGAATTCAACAAACACGGACTCAGGTTCCTCATAACCATGGTTTGCAAACCCCGTTTCAAGCTAATCCTTTCAAGTTGCATTTTCGTAAGAACCACGTGCACCAGGAATAAACACTCAATGCAATACCACGGTTCACACAGAAAACTGAAGGCAGGAGTGGGGGGTTTGTGCCTCTGAAGGGAGGGGGGGGACAGATCATTCTGAAGAGTGGCTCATGGGAGCAGCGTTCCCCCTAATCTGAGTTAGTGTGAGCCAGCTCACAGCTTTTAGCCTCCGGATCACACGTCTTTGTCTTAGCTCAGGCAGGATGGCTCCAGAGCAAACCAATTTATGCAATAGCCAGATCGATCGCTCACAACTTTAATTCAAGTAGCTCTCAAAGTAGAATTTTTGCTCACAACACTCCACAGCTTAGAGGGTGCCTTGCTTGTGAGTCGCTCGTAATTATCCAAAGGCTGCAGGCACAGAAGCAGTAGATTAAAGGGAGAAAGCCAGCTGTATATGCAGTAAGCCCAACAGACATAAAAGAAACCGAGGTACAAGGGGGGAAAAATAGCTTACCTAAGCTGAGACTGTAGCTTCCCCGCTTTGTTGATGAAGTCTTCCCAAATCGGATAACTTCCCTGAAAGAGGGTGGAGGAAAAAAAAGACAGACTTTAATGAAGTATCTTAATTTGACCAGGCAGCAGAAACTTTTTCTTAGAGGGGGCATAAGCGGCTGCTACAGATGTACCCCCCCCCCGAACAGTTTGGAGGAGGGGGATAACCCTCTTTTTTAATATTTCAGATTTTCCTGGGGCATTTTCAAGTCTGCAGAAAGATTTGTCTTGTCTGTTCATGGCTCCTGTCTCTGGATTTAGCTATCCACAGATGGAGCCGCATTGAGAATTAGATACACTGACAAGTGGGGGACTTACACAGACTTGTAGGGGGCATCTATTCCCCCCCCCCCCCCCCCCCGGTTCCCTTTTGAATTATGAAGCTAGGAGTGCATCCACACATCATCAAATACGGCGCTATTGTTGTGCAATAACAAATCATTCACAACTCGACTGTCCTGTCCACAGATCAGGGGACCCCAATGACACCCACAAACACCTATCCTGGTGCCTGCCAAGAAGAAGGAAAAGAGAAGAGATTGGATTTATACCCCGCCCTTCACTACCGAAAGGAGTCTCAGAGTGGCTTACAATCACCTTCCCTTCCCCTCCCCACACCAGACACCCTGTGAGGTAGGTGGGGCTGAGAGAGCTCTTTCCAGAACTGCCCTTGAGAGAACAGCTCTGAGAACTTATGACTGACCCAAGGTCACAACAACAGTTGCATGTGGAGCAGTGGGTAATCAAACCTGGTTCTCCCAGATTAGAGTCCACGCTCTTAACCACTATACCAGGGGTGGCCAAACAGCAGCTCGGGAGCCACATGTGGCTATGACACACAGCCTAATGTAATGTTAATAAAAGCAAGTTTGCATATTTTCCAATAAAAACATGTGTACTATTTGTTCACGTCTTGCGGATCTCAAACATCTGACATTTATTCTATGTGTCTGTTACGTTAAGCAAGTTTGGCCACCCCTGCACTACACCAAACTGGCTCTCCTACACCAAACTGGCTCTTTTAGAAAGCGGGCAGGGCTACGTAAGGCTTTTGCTCAGCAGGGCTTCTGATTGGCTGTGCAGATTAAAAGGCATCTTGTTAAAACAGAGCTTCTGCCTGAAATGCTGAAGCAGTACTGTTAGAGTTACATATAACCTCTCTCCCTGATAGTTTGTTATTGGCTCCACCTCCTGAGTAGCCATTTTGTGACTGGCTCCACCTCCGGTAGCAGCCATTTTGTGATTGTGCCCACCGCCCCGTGTCAGAATTCCAAAGATGCCCACAGGCTCAAAAAAGTTGGGGACCCCTGCTATAGACCAACAACAGATCTACAGCCAAGGAGGCGGGGAGGAAGCCTAGCATGGTCAGATTTTGCAACCAAGGAATCTGCTCCTTTGCTTCCCCTACAGCCCAGGTTCCCTGGGAATGGAGAACATGGAGAAAACACATAGCTGACCCTGGTTCCTATCTAGGGCTGGGACTGGTTTTGTGATAAGCTTGGCAAGAGGGTTTCTTCCACCTGCTCACAGGCGAAGGATTAGAGGAAAGGAAGCCTTTTTGGGAATTCACTTGGCATAAGTAAGAAGACAGAAAAAAACACTGCCTTAAGAATATGTATGCAGAGAACTCTCTATTAGGCAGCAGGGAAAGGCAGCCAATTCTCAGCTAGTGAAAGAGCACAGTTACTAATTACACAAACCTGTTGAGTCATGGAAGCTTTGCAAGTCCAAACATTAAAAACACCACATCAATTAGGAAGGGACTTGCTTGGCTATGTTGTACCTACACAATCAGTGGTCCAGCATCACACTCACAAACACACAAAAGCTACTGTACGTATAAAATGAAGTATCGCAGGAAAGATTTAATCTGCTAAAACACTGATTGAAGTTCTGCAGATTTCCTGAGCTAAGGAGAAGGCAGCCGGTTAATTCTGTCTGTTTTGCAAGGCAGACATCTCCAAAGCTCAGTGATCAGAGGTTTGGGCTCTCGTTCCTTTTTTGCACATATAAATTTCCCCCAATATTTCTTTAAGCCTGCTTCGCTGAAACGACGCTATAGTCTGGTTTACATTAATCAAGTTCACAGATCATTGGTCAAAAAGCACCTCCAGGCCTGGGGAAAGAAACACATGGAGATTACAGTACAACTCTTTTGTGTCATGTACTGCAGAGATTTTCGAGTGACCCGTAACCTTTATCCCAGAATTTAAGATGCATATAAGACTCTCTCTTGGAACAGAGGCACTCACTGCATTTGACACACACACACACACCTCCATTACACTAAAAGCAGAAGAATATAACACAGCCCATCCTTTGGGACTCCACAGTGCTGGCTCCCAGAGCCAGTTTGGTGTAGTGGTTAAGTGCGCAGACTCTAATCTGGGAGAACCGGGTTTGATTCCCCACTCCTCCACTTGCACCTGCTGGTGTGACCTTGGGCAAACCATAGTTCTGAGAAGAGATGTTCTTGAAAAAGAGCAGTTTCTGTCAAGAGCTCTCTCAGCCCCTCCTACCTCACAGGGTGTCTGTTGTGGGGAGGGGACGGGAAAGGAGTTTGTAAGCCGCTCTGAGACTCCTTTGAGCAGTGAAGGGTGGGATATAAATCCAATCTCTTCTCCTCTTCTTCTTCTGACTAAGGACAATTCCAGGCCTTGGAGGGGGGGTTGTTGGAAAGTGCCGTCAAGTTACAGCTTACTTATGATGACCTCACAGGATTTTAAAGGCAAGAGACATTCAGAGGCGGTTTGCCACGGCCTGCCTCTGTGTTGCAAGTCTGGGCTTCCCTGGCGGTCTCCTATCCACATACTAACGAGGGCCGACACTGCTTAGCTTCTGAGACCTGCTAAGACTGGGCCAGACTGGACCATCCCTGTCAGGGCCTGGGCTTTGGGGAGGAGGGAGTTTCTAAAAAGCCACAAACTGAACACAGCTCTTTCACGAACACAGCCCAACCCAACACCGTTACACTTCCATATCTACATCTTAACAATTCGTGCCCTTAAAAAGATTCACGAGGAAGTTTAACAGTATTTTGTCCAAAGGTACTTAAAATTTCCCTCAAGGCCTTTACAAGGTAGTTACGTATGTCGAATTTAGCCCAGATTTACCTAGTTATTTTTTCATCACTTGAAGACGAAGCCACTCCGGGCTAATTTTATGGCTATCTGGTCAATCCCAGAAGCCACCCACACATCAGGAAAAACAGCATACTGTCAAAGATCAATTGCGTTTATACAAATTTCAAGCTGAGAATCTGTGAGGAAGTGGGGAGGGCACGGGGGGGGGACAGGCAATAAGAGGAATTAGGGTCGCCACCGCCAAGTCAATGTTCGCCGGGAGCGGGGGGCTCCCGGCTGGCGTCAGTTGCGCGTGCGCTGCATGCACATCACCCCGAAGTGACGTGACGACGCCAGGCACGCTGGGGGCGGGGCCACGGCCATACAAGGGAAAACCATAGAGTTTTCCCTCGGATGGCCGTGGCCCTGCCCCCAGCATGCCCGGCGTGACTGCCTCACTTCCGGGTGACGCACACGTCGGGGAGGAGTTCCCCCGGGGCCCGATCCGACGGCGGCGGGGAATGGGCCTCTGGGGCGGGGGTTTCCCCACCCACTGGGGGGACTTGGGAAGCCTAAGAGGAATAATGGGATAGGTCCAAACGTCCTCTAAGGAGCCTTTCACCAACTCAAGCAGCTCTTCCTCCCACGGAAGAACCACTTAAGTGGGAGGAAGTCTCCTTAGACTAGAGGAAGGCTTCGAACTGGAGCCAAAAGGAAATGTGGGACATAAATATTTGAAGAAATAAATGAATAACTGAATAAACTTTGCTCAGGGGAGTGGTAGGGTAAGGGAAGGATCCAACCCAGTGATTGGGAAATTCCTTAATCTAATCTAACCCTCTCCTCCCCCATGCTATTAATTTTTAGGGGCTTGACAGATTAATTATCCCACCTTCATTTTAACGTTTCCCTCTTTGACGCTTAGCATCCCAGGCGCAAGTCACACGTACTCATCGTGACATTTGTTTAAAACAATTTAGAAACTAACAGGGAACCCGCTCAGAACAGCGGGGACCCTGACCTTAACTGCGGGTGGGCCCTACTTAGCGGCCTTTGAAATCGGCACTCAGCCATGAAGTCTGCACTAGATGGAACCGGTCCAGAGTAGCTCCTGGCTCAGCATTGTCTATGCAACACCTATCCATGCTGCGACGACCCTCCCCCAGCCCACCATTACAAAAGAAGACCTGAATAAAACAGCAATGCAATTATTTTATTTCATTCCACTAATACCCTACTTTTCTATGCCTCACTTACACAGAAAACGCTCACCTAGTGTTGCTGTTTCAGCCTGTAGGAGAGAAACAACGGCATCACTCGTGTTTACTGTTTTATATATTGTACAGGCAAAAAAAAAATAACTATGGGTGGCATAGCTCAGCGAGGGCTCCCAGCTGGCCACAGCTCCCTACAATGTACCAGTGCTTATTTATTTAATTTATATCCCACCTTCCTCCCCCATGGGGTCCCAGAGTACCTTACATTATTCTCCTCTCCTCCATTTTATCTTCCCAACAACCTTGTGAATTCGGTTAGGTTCAGAGTGCATGACTGGCCTAAGGTCACCCAGCAAGCTTCCATGAAACCAGTGGGGATTCAAACGTGGGTCTCACAGATCCTAGAGTCTGACATTCTAATCATTACACTGCACTGGAAGCACCTGAGTTTCCTTACAGCATGTGAAGTGTCCTGAAGGCACAAAAAGATTCATTAAATGCAGAATTAAGGCAAATATGCCATAAATCTGCTGGTTAAGTTCCTCCCTCTCCTTCCACACACACACACAACCAAGCTAGGCAACAGCTTTGCTCTTCAGTCTTACACTGTTACACCTGCAGGCAGCAAACCATGGGGGTAGGAAAAAGGAGAGATTGCAGAGTAGAGTTCCAACATGTCGACAGACACCATGATTTTATATATGAGCAACTGCGACATCCTTCTTTCAACTAAGAACCTTTTAAG